GTGTTTTGCATTTTCAGCCAAACAAAACGAAAAAAAATTGCTGCGAAAACCAGAATTTACACAAAATCATATGTAAATGCTTTCAAAGATTTGCATAAAGACGCGCTATAAATTAGAGTTTTTTGTTTTATTTTCGTCAGCAGTTTTCAGGTTCAAAGCAATTAAGTAATAACACAAATCAAAGTAAACAAAGGCTGAAATGTAAAGGCAGAGGTATAAAATTATGCAAGTCCCGCTTGGCGAAAGAAACCATGGTTCGGTGATTTGGAGGCCCCCGACCTGTAAGACACATTACCACCGATCATTTCAAGTTCATATAGAAAAAGCCTTTGAGCTTTTTAGGCTAATTTCAACACTGTTTTTATCCACAACACTACGCAGTGCGTGTGTCCAATGGATCCAATAAAAACCAATACTATTCAGTGGTCAGTGGCCGGTCAACTCCCATTATTACTGGTTGAATCCGTCCAGTTTTTCACGCTTTCGTACTCGGCACAATTGAGTCGAATTGCAATTGAAAAGGAAAAAAACGAGAAGCGGCAAGAAATAAACTGCAATTGTTAGACAAGCACATATGTATGCACACAGCTGTGGGCACAGAAATAGCACTGAATTCCTGGGGCCTTTAGTCGGCCAACTTAATTTATTAAATATCCCTCTTTAAAGATAAAAGTGAATGTAAATTCAAACTGTTCTTTATGTTGGCACCTTTTATATATTTATTTGTTTTATATCATCTTAACGATTGTTCAATTTAGCAAGCTGACTTTCCATACCTCAGGCCTCACATAAAGATTTTATAGTTTACTCATTAAAATGACCACTAAAACCGACTCGTGACAGAAAAAAAACTTGTTTTTGACAAAGGCCGTATTTTTCGCAGCAAAAGCAAGAACGAAGATACTAAAAAAAAACTCATATAATTTGTATATAATCGTGTTTAAATAGATAATAGATAATTTAAATTATTTTTGTTGCTTCCAAAGCAGAAATGTAAGAAATCCCTTTACAATTATTTGTTGTATAGCCATTGCTATTGCTATTAATTTAGGTATATTTTTTTATTCATGCATGCCTGCCAATATGAGAGTGTTTTTAGTTCCATTCCATCTGTTCAGCTCTGCTTGGATGCTCTGTTGCAAGCTTGCTTTGCTGGCCGAGCATGCTTTTTGCTCACGCTCGGATTCTCCCCTTTGGCACGTGGTAAAAATTCTGCCTGTGTGCTCGCCCATTTTTTTCGTGTGACAATTTTTGCGTTGGAAAAATCTTTGAAGCGTCACCAAAGTCTAAAATATCTGCGGTTCACGAGGGGGGATAGGAGGGGATGGGAGCATACCGGTTTGCTTAGAGAGCAAACACGTTTGCCAAGCGGCTGCCCTTGTCAAGGTCATGCCCAGTCAAATGCCGCTCTTTTATTTTGGTTTTCAATTTTACCAAAGGCAAACTGCAGCTTTTGTTTCACAATTTAATGGAGAGGTAAAATGATGGATCAGCAGCTGATCTATTGTATAACTGCGATGTCCCCAGCTTTTAACACAAACATGGATAAACCACAGAAAAATGAAAACACATAGAGCTCGGACGAAATCGGTGGAGTCGGAAGGGGGCTAAATAAACTCTGGTTGTTGGGGGCTCTTGAGTTCAACGACTTCACATGACAATTGGCCATTGTTGCTGTTGTTGTTTGTTGAATGTTTTGTCGTGGCAAATGCAAAGGCAAAGGCAAAGGCAGAAGCAAAAGCAACATCAAAAGCAGGAGCAATTAAAAAGACGTTAATTTGTCGACTTTTGTGGCCACGAAATTGAATTTTCAACTGACCAACTCCAGTGATTAATGGCATAGAGCAGTCAACTTGGCTAGCTTCTATCTCCCAAATCCCATCTACCATCTACCATCTCCAATCCCCAATCCCGAATCAAATTCTTCGACTCAATTTGCTTTTGGGGCAAATGGGAAATGGTCCGCTTCTGTCGCTCATAATTACCGGAGCCTAAATTAACGACTGAGGCGCAGACGCCAACGGTTAAAGTCACAGTCAGCGAACTCTGAACACCACAAACAAACCGAAGCAAACCCCCAGATACGCAGATACATAGACAGAAGAATACAGATACATAGATACAAAGGTATGCTCGTGCATGATTCTAATTACTATGTATGGGCTCTGTGCCCCATGGATTATATAGACAATGCACAGGGAGCGGGATATGGGAGATATAGTCGAAGTGGTAGTAGAAATCCAGCAGCAACAAGAACTCTATTGTTCGGCGAGCGTCGCCAGCGGAGCGTCAGTTGAAGAATGGAGAATCGAGAATGGAGAATCGAGAACGGAGAATGGAAGTTCAAGTACCCCCTGACAGAGGTATTACATGATAGCCATAGATCATAGAGGAAGTCTTTAAGCCAACGTCGTAAGCCAAGCAAACAGCTGAGGTGCGAATTCTGGTGGTGCGAAACTTAAGAACTTTTTAAGTACTTGAATGTAATGAGGTATTTTTTTTATTCGGACTTAAAAATATTTTCAAAACGTATTATAGGAAAATTATGTTTTCCTTCAAAAAAACATTAAGAGATAACGAAATAAACTTTCAGCCCTATTATCTTTCCCGCATTTGTTGCACAGCTTGTAGCAGTTTTGTGTACACAACGCATTACACAGAATTCCCAGTATCAAAGGTAAAAGGGGATCATCGACGGCGACTGGCCATTAAAGATTTAGAAAGGCCCTTCATCACGCGGGCATGGGTATTTGGGCAACCCATGCCCAAATGGCCAAAGTCGAACGAAAGTGAGAGGAGCGCGCGGCAGAGTGACAGGTACAAAAAGTGGGATAAACTTATGGCGCCCAACGGGGGGCTTTTCAAGGAGGGGGGACCTATAAAGAGAGTGATCTGCATCTGAATCGGAAAGGAAATAAGGCGCAGATTCCTTGAGTGAATGGGGGGTAACTTAAGACTTTGTTTGTTTGCCTTTTGTTCGCATTTTGAAATCTTTCCGGGGATTTAAGCTTCTTGCGAGGCAGCTGTGCTGTGCTGACACTTTTTTTCGGGAGGGTTGTCAGTATCCCCGAAGCTTCCCCCTTAGCTTATTGCGCATTGGTGAGAATCAGAATCTGAATCCGAGTACGAATCCGAATCAGAATGAGAACAATTCTGCTGGTGGGTCAAATACCTTGGGCAAAACTCAACGAGCGACCATCTTTTTGTTTTGCTCACTGAAATTGTTTATTGTTCGGCGGCTGGAGCGATGCAAATGTTGTATAAAATTCAATAAACTGTGAAACCAGTTTATCAGTTGATCACCGAGCTCGGTTTCTCAGTGAAAAGTCTTGGGCAAAAGTTGCCAAATAATAAACGCCATGTGTATGTGTACATTGAAATTAAGAAAAAAATAATAAAAAATACAAAAATATATAAATACGAAAAGAAAAAAAAAAGCAAATCGTCGGCAGTTCCAAACTTCATGTCCCAATCATCATCACCGTTTGTTGTCTTTGTCGCCGCTTTTTTGTTTGCGCTGCTTTTATTTGATTTTTTCCCATTTTTTACTTTTTATGTGAGATTCAATTAAAAACTTTTGACCAGCAATTTCATAAATTTGCGGGTTTATGGGCAGGGGAAAATAGCGGCGGGTGCTCCAAACGTATCCATCTCCATCTCTCGCCAACCAGTTTGATGTTAATCAATTTTCGCAACAAATTTTTGCACTTGCCACTTGCCTTAGCGGAACCAAAAAACCGAAAAAAAAAACATAAAAACATGCTGCGAATGTTTTTCAAAAGGAAACATGCGCTAAATAGAGCCATACAAGTATCTATTTACGTTTTATCTCGTTTTTTTCGCGTTTCTCACTTGCTGGAAATTACTTAATATGCATTTAGCCGCCGTGCTTCGACCTTACATAGCTGCCTGCTTTTTTGATCGATAGTTGAAAGCCGCGATAATGCCGTTTCCGCTGTGGTTTTCATCGCCGCCGATCGCGCCAGCATCATTATGGCCATAAACCATTGATTGCCGCTCAGTTATGTGGCCGCCTGCCCGTTTGGATAATTATATTATCAGAGCCGGGCCTCTACTATTCTGGTTCTCACCCCTCAGATCTTCGGATCTTCCGATCTTTGGTTACCAAAAGTTTAGCAACGAGGAAGTGGAGTCGAGCTCGAGATCGAGATCGAGCTTTCGATCCAATACCAAATACCAAACCAATCCGATCCGCTGCTTTCACTGCTGACTCAGTGGCTTTTTCTTCTGACGAAGTCCGACTATCTGTCATTTTGATTTTCCGCTTTTTGCAGGGCACCCTGGGGCAACGGCACTTAAAGATGGAATGATTTCCCAGCCTCCGTGGGGGATTGAATTTAGGTGAAACTAAACGACGTGTGCTAGTGCTACACCCTAATAAAAGAAATCAAATGCACATCTAACCATATATCTAGTGCGAAACTGCTAAAAAGCACGTAGAGTAAATTGAACAGTAGAACGTGTGAACTTTTCAAATAAAATAAAAGAAAGTCCGCATGGAAAAATGCTTTCCTCTTAATTGTGGTTGCTTTGTTGCGAACTCAACAAAGTAAGGAGTTTTAAGTGTAAAAAAAAAATCGATATGTAACGTAGATCGATTTTACATTATGTAATATCATAGCCGCATAGGCCAGGTAAATTTGATATGTTCGAAAAGAGTATTTCATGTAAAAACGATATGGGTTTTGCATACCAGTGAATGGTAAAAACTTTTATGAATGGACAAATTTCGAATATTTCCAATACAACAAATTCCATTCCAATGTCCTTTGCCCCACTGTGCAACGTGTGAATTTTGCAGCCCAGGAGAGTTTCTTGCCCCCAGCACACCGGCATAATTTACCGTTTTGGAGCTTTATCTGCCGATCGGAGATCGTAGTTAGTCGGTGGTATTATTTCTGTTGGTGTTGCACTGCTCGTAAGTGAATTTTTTTTAGGAGCTGCTGCAAAACGGAAACCAGAAGAAGCTGACAACTTACCTAGACAACGACCTCAATTAGCAAATCTGTTTGGGCCGCGTCTTTCCATGGTTCTAACTGCCTTTTGATGTGATGTGATGTGCTGTTGTTGGCTTAATGGCGCTCTATTTCCTGTCAGTTCACATGCATCGGTCCATAATGCCTGTACCCAGGTTAACACACTCTCACACACACACTCTCTTTTCTATCTTTCTTTTTTATTTTACTTGATTTTTTTTTGGTTAATTTTTTTTTTGTATTTCGGTAGGCACTTTCGAATGTAAAAAAAAAGTGTAAAAAAAATAAAGCAAATTATTTTTGCACACACACCCTCAAACACTCGTCCACACTCGCGCAGCCAATTAAAGAGCCATGTAACGCATGTAAATAAACAAAATCTGGCGAATTCTTCCCCCAGTTTTCTTCGTCCGCGAGAAATCGACGCAGCGTGAGCGTCCGTTCGGCATGAAACTCGTTTCTCGACTGAACCGCTCAGCTGAAATTCGACTGAGGCTCAGCTGCAGTTGCTCAGTAGCAGCGGTAGCCAGCTGACGACGGCGAAGAGAGAGAGAACCCACCACCCCAACACCATCCACCTCTCGAAAGCCCACCTCCCGATCCCCCGATCCCCCGATTCTCCGATTCCCCGATCTTGGGAATGTGCATTAACCGGGCGCACGCACACGGGGCCTACGAACGGCCCAACCCAGCTCCACGGGAATTACAATTAATTTGACCAACATTTTTTGTAGCAGCACCCTTCCTATATATTGGGTATTTGTACTCCCATTGCATCCAGAGTTTATAATGGGAACAACACATAGAGTATTGGGAAACTTTAGCAGCTGTTGATAAAAGATAATACAAGTATGATATCATAACAAGAGAATCCATTTAAGATTTAGGCTTAAGGTATGTTATTTCCTTTAAAGAAAAGTGGAAACTGAAATAAAAATAAAATAATACATTTAATGCAAAACGAGGATTTAAAATCAGATAGGGTATTTCAAGCTTCAACCATTTAAACACAAGGTTCTCAGTTCGATCACGTTGGAAGCTTTGCCTTCACACGCTAGAAATTTACAAATATAAATACACGTAGAAAAGGCTACCAGGGACTGTAAGAAAAAAACACATTGGTGATGCATTCGATTTTGATTTATTGTATATTGAATTTATTAAGATGCTTGTCTTTGGAATTTGTTCTTTAAATAATTGAATTTCCTTTCGAATTTCAAGAGAAATTCATTTTTGCACTCTACTACTCTGGTAAAATACAAATTTCGACCAAAAAAAATCAATGTATACCGCAGATTTTATTACGCATATATACTTCGGTAGTCATATACATACACATTAAATCCATTGTGTGTATCTGAGTTTACAAAGTAAATTACTGAATATCTCACGTGGTGTAATCGGTGCTGGATCAATGAATGCATCGAGTGAATGTGAGTGATAAATGCCTAATAACTCGATCGCGTACTCACTATTCAAAAGTAATTCGTTTATGTCAATTATATAACTATAACTAGAACTATTTAGATCCATGTATATATATTAGATTTTCTATTAAAGCTGATAAATGTACTTGATCGTTAGTTATTAATTCGTATAATTTGTTAGCATTTTTCTCAGCTGCTGCTCAGGGCTGCATTCAACAATTTTCGTGCTATTCGTTTTCTCGATTCATATTCCAATTCCAATATCAATTTCAATGTGAAATGAACTACCAAGTTTCCCTATATATATATATGTATATACATATATAAGATCTAACTGATGCAAAAGTTCCGTTTGTAAATAGTTGAGAAAAACGTGGAATTCAAGTACTAAAAATTGTATTACGACCGACAACTAATGACTGACTATGACTACTACGAACTGCTGAGGCTGTAAATGTTATGTGTATAAAGACTACTACGTTAAGCTACCCATACAATAGTTCATTGGATACGTAAGGCAATTTCACCGTCTCAATCCCGCAACATAAACCCGAAACTGCTAAGCTATAAGACATAATCATGATCTCTAAAAAATAGTCAGTGTACGAACTCCTCTAGATCCTAATTCATTTGGCTGGACTGCAATTGTGTTGTGTTATGTTTTTTTTTTTGTTTTTAATGTCTATTTTTTGGAGTGAGAGTGAGTGTGTGCCCAGTATTACCAACTGACTGCCATTCGTTGTCTAAATCTTATTTGGCTGGGACTCGGTTCCTTGGCTCTGCTGGCAGGAGAATCGATTTTTATCGTTTAAATCGTTAATCGCTTATCGCTTATCGTTTTTGGACGCAATTGGACGCCTAGAGCTGCCCGGTATCGTTGCGATCCGGGGGATTCGCTAGCTACAAAGTCGTATCAAAAATCTTAACATACTACTAAGTGTTTGGTTTTGCTTCTTGCCAGTTCTTTCGGTGTGGGACAGCCCGTTAAGATCACCGTGATATGGTAACAGTTGATTACTGCCTATCGACGGGCTGCCCCGTGCAAATTTGGTATCTATCATTGATCATTGCTCATCCGTAATCGGTAATCGGCATTTGGCAATCGACAATCGAGGCTCTCTTCAGATGCTTAGCTAAAATCTAGCCACAGAACACAGTTAGTAACAGTAACAGAGGGGCCAAGTGGATCGGGTGGTTGGTGATTCCCTAGCCTGCGACTATTTGGGACACGGAATTGGTGCGTCGGCGTTTGGTGATCTGCTTCCACAGGCGGCGGTTCAGAGATGGCTTGTCCTGAAATCGATTTGGTTATCGATAATTTCGATTATTATTTTTTTTTTGCACTCACGTTATCCTTGCGTGGCGACATCTGGGCCATCTCCACTGAATCCTGGGCCTGCGACTGACCCGGCGGCAGCTTCTGGAGAAGAAGGCTGCTCGGATGGGGCTGTTCGCCAAAGGCGCCATCGGAGAAGTTGGGGGTGCTGCTGGTGCTACTGGCGGTTATCTCGGAGTTGCGACGCTTTATAAAGTTTATTCTGCAGTATGAGGTTAGTTATGTATTTATAAGAATAACTTAAAGATATTAGTTACTCACAATCGCTTGGATCTGCCCACTTCGGTCTCGAGGAATGCCTCCTCAGTCATTGTTGTTGTGGTTGTGGTACTGATGGCTCCCGCTCCGTCCATCGAAGTAGTACTCCTCGTCCTCGTCAGAGAGGCTGCTGCAGCTGCTCGTTTGGGCCAGGAAGAGTCGCGTCTCCCCGAACTCGTATCCCCCATCCCCATGCCCGAACGCATCTCCGTAGCCATGGCCACCAGAGTGGTCGTGCTCGTCGTGGTCATCGTTGTGCCCGCGGATGTGCTCGTCTCCCTGGCTCGACAGCCACTCCTCGATTGAGACATGGAGTATATCTTCTCGCGTCTCGCTAAGATTTCCAGATCGCCTAATTTGCTCCCGCCTCTGCTGGAGCTGCAGGCGGTGCTGCTGTCGCCGCCGCTTCCGTTCCCGCCTCCGACTCGACCAGCAAATCCACCACCTGGATGACCCACCACCGCCGCCAGCTGCTGCTGCTGCTGCGGATGATGACCCATTGCCTCGGCGGCTCCGGCACGGGTTAAACCACCGGCGAGCGGACTGCTGCCGTGACTGCTGCTGCTGCGACTGTGATTGTTGTTGTTGCTGCTCGTGTTGTTGCTGATGGAGCCGCCCAAGGCGCCCGCTGAGAGGGGGCTGGGCCGGCGGTTCACCGTCGGCGTGTCCATCTTTGAGTTGCGTTGTTGAGAGTACGATATGACAGCCTCTTTTGGCTGCACCCTGTTCGTGGCTGAACGACTCAATAAATCGCGACCCGTCAGACGATGAAATGTGGAGAGGTCGTGCCTGGGAAAAAAAATAACAAAAGGATTTAGCAAGGACATCAATTTGATATTTAGATCTTTGATTGGTTTCTCTCTCTTATCGGATTTTGCAATTTTTTGTCCGATTTTTACCAAAATTTCGAGGTAGGTTTCATATTTTTCGAATGCTATAAATTCGGATGCATATCGGAAATATGCAAAATATATGCAAAAAAATGTACAAAATATGCAAAAAATGTGCAAAAATATGCAAAAAAATATGTACAAAAATAAATGCATAAAATATGCAAAAAAAGTTATCGGAAATGCCCTTAAATCAAAAAAGAGAGAAAAAAGCAAGATGGCGACTGCAATAACTGTGAGTAAGAGCGAGAAAGGCATATTCAAGGTTCAAAGATGATATTATTGTTTCTAAAATATTGAAATTGACATCATAAGGAGTATCAATTCATAAAATGTTCGTTATCCAGGCACTTAAAACCCTAAGTACCCCCCATTCCCAACGTTTTTCAACACTCACCCCAGAATAGTTGTTAGATCGGGACCAGGCTCGTAGCAGATCAAGTCCTCGTCCCCGAGGATGTCGTGATTGAGGGCCAGCCGCATTTCCAGCCTTGGGCTTAGCCCGCATCCAGCGTGCGGCACTGGGGCAGCGGTGGGCGGTGGTGCGTCTGGCGGTGCCGCCTGCTGTGGTGGTGCCACTGCAGCTGGGCTGCTCTGCCCCCTCGGCGGCTGTGTTGGGTTGTGATGGGTGGGACTCTGACGGCTCGACGGCTTTGCCGTCCTCGAGATCGAGGCTGTTGCTGATGAAGTGGCTGAGGCGGGCCTGGGTGCCCCCAGCAGGCAGGTCTCGATTATCGTTGACGACGGTCGTTTTGGCCCCGCCGCCGAGCTGCTGGTACTCGGCGTTGATGGCATTGTCCTTGACCCGATAGCGGTTGGGTCCGAAGCGCTGGCGGCGCCGCCGACAACCGCCGAGGAGCCACTGTCAGCAGTAGCGCCAGATTTTTTTTGAGGTGGCTCCTAAAATGGGGAATTTCGGATAAATTTCATAGTTTCCAATAACTTAGCTAAAATGGTGACCTGGTGTAAACCCCTTTGAAAATGGTGAAAACTTTAAAAGAATACCATTCATTTTTACACTTTTATCATTTTTCCAAAAGGTGACCCCAAAATTTCTCTACCAAAGCCCATAACTGCACAAACCAATTAAAGGTGACCCCGAATTTAAACCTACAGAGTTTATAGCTATTCGAAACCCCTTTAGACTCAAATCTTTCCAAAAAGGTGACCCCAATTTGCATTTCAAAAACCCTTAACTGCACGAACCGCTAAAAGGTGACCCCAATTTGTACTTTAACCGTCCATAACTCAACCAATCGTGATCCGTTTTCAGTGTTACTTATCTCTAACAAGTTGGTGGTTAATTCTCTAATCAATCAAATGGTAAAGCTCACCGTTTTGGCCTGGGCAGCGCTTAGATCTGTCTGCGTGAGGAGCAAGCGACGCGGAGGCGGTGGCGGCGGCACAAATCTCGGAGGCCTGCCGCTGGCTCTGCCGCCGGAGTTCGTAGTGCCGCTCGCGCTGCTGGTTGTTGTAGTAATCGATGAGGGAGCTCGACTCGGCGTCGTCGTCGTCATCGTCATCGTCGTCGTCATCATCCCGATCGGCATCGCTGCTGGCTTCGCCGGAGACGGAGGCGTCGGCCGAGAGGATGGCGTCGTGGTGAAGGAGCTGCTGCTGCTGCTGCTGATCCCGGCGGCGGGTTCGCGTCCTGATCCGCTCGAGGGGCGCTGATCGAGCAGATACTCGCAGGATGAGGCCACCACCACCGGAACCACCGGGACCGCCGGTGGCTGAGGATCGATGGCCGTGGTGGGCAGCAGACGGGTGGTGAGCAAGGGACGCGGCCCCATCGCACTCGTGGCCAGATTCGGGAGCAGTCGCTCCACGCTGGAGTGTGTATCCTCCTGATCCGGATCCGGTTCCGGATCCTCCTCCTCCTCCTCCTCCTGATCCTCCTCCTCCCGATCCGGCACCACTGGCCGAGGAACTGGTGGTGGGACTGATGGCGCCACCTCGCTGTCGCTTGAACTTCCAGCCGAATCCTCTAGGTAGTGGCCATTGGTCGTTGCTTCCCCCTACCAATTGTTGGGAATAGAATTCAACTAATCAATTCTGGTTGGGATAGAGACTCCTGCTAGCGGTTGGCGCCTTTTGATGTGCATGTGGATGAGGAGGTGGTTGGTTTCGGTTATCGTTCGTTCGTTTGTTTGCAGTACGGAATTTCGATAGGCAAGATCCGAGGATCGGATTAGTTAGTTGGGAGGTGGTGGATGATGGTTCTGTTGGGGCTGTTCGTCAATCCCGTCCGGACGTGTGATGTTGATGAGCTCGCAGTATTGCAGGATGGGCTAAAGCTTCACTAATTTCACTACGACCTTCTATGCAAGTACAAGTATTTGTATTGAGCAACAACGATTTACGGTTTACGATTTACGAGCACAATGAAGCAGACAGGCAAAAAGAGTACAGTTTACATACAAAGTCAAAAGATGTTAACGTGATTGATTGATTGATGGTGGTGATGGTTGATCGATGGAGATGAAGATGAAGATGAGCAAGTTGCAGTCGATGGTTTATGAAAGTACAGACAAGAAATAGAAAGACAAACCAAGATCAATTCAAAGGTTAGTTCATTGAGTGACTAGGGCTACATGCAGGTGGGTTATATCTAAGGATTTATTGCAGATGAGAGATAGAACTCTCCTTTTCGCTCTCTTTTTTCTCTTGGTGCTTGGGTACAGTTGCCCACTGTACACTGTAGTTTGCCATGCAGCGGAATGCGGAATTGGAACGAACACGGTTGCATTTCGACTTGGACCCGGGGTATTTTTTTTTTTTTTTTTTTTTTTTGGTTTTTGGGACGTGTGTTTGGAATTTGCTGTAATAACGACCCACCTTTTTGACGTCATCGTTGTCCTGCTGCGTCTTCTCTTCGTCGCTCTCCGTCTCCTCCTCAAAAAGGGGCTCAAGGCGACGTCTACGTCGATATACGGATACGAATACGATATACGATATACGGTTTCGATAATACGTGTGTATGGCGTATGCAAACGAATTTCAATTGGAATTTAGCAATAGTCGATCGATGTGTTGATTGTGTTTCGATGGCGCATAAATGATATATCAATTTCGATTGAGCAAAACGTAGTTGATGTTATAATAGATACATTTATGTAAATATTAAGAGGGGTAAGCTACAGAGATATGAACCCTCGCCTTAATGTCGACCTGACTATATGACTATGACTAGATCTAGGACTAGCCCGCAAATGATTGAGCAATACTATTTATAAGGATATATAGAGTGGTTACAGAAAGAGATACATATATATGACACTGATTCGAATCGAATTTAGGATCGGGTGACATACGGTATGTGTGTGTATGTGAAACGAATGGAAACGAAAGGATAAACACCTGTAAAAGCTACGAAAGAAAGTTTCCAAAGGAGTACACGAAAAAAAGAAAATTCGTATTCTTATTAACAGTAGGATCAATGGAGGCACTAGACTAAGCTATACTAAATATGGTAGATATATATGTATATGTCGAGATACTCGTTATATGGTGTTTTACAGTTAGAGATCTTAGGCTGCCTAGGGTTTTCATCTACCAGCTGTGTGTGATTATTGGTGGGTCGGGTTTGGTTTGGTGTCTTAATCTTTTAATCCGGAACCTATCCCTTAAAACCCTACATACCGTGGCAGCAATCCTCGAATCGTGCTGGCAGTCATCGGTGGCGCCATTAGCAGCTCGTCCATCATCAGTTCGGTGTCGTCGTCGTCATTCAAAGAGGTGCTCGACTTGGTGGGCGACTGTATATACAGATATAAAAAAAGTGGAAATTGGCGAACATTTTCGGTGTAGGACCATTTTTGGCCAGGTTACAGCAAAAAAACCAAAAGAAAAAATTCATATTTTTACCAAAAACCCAGATCCCAATTTTTCACAATAAAATAATTAGTTTTTAGACCGTAACAATGGAAATATTGATCCAAATATGGAATGTCATACCTTTCTGAAATCGTTATTAAATTTCTAAACGATTGGCATTAAAACCAGAACATTTTATTTTTTGGCCATTTTTTTCCAAAAAATCCTGATGATTATAAAAAAATTAAAAATTGGCAAAAATTTTATTTTCCCAAAATCGCACGGAAAGTTTTATGGATTTAATTACTATTTTGTTATCTGTTCAAAACAGTATGCATTTTTGGTGTAAGACCATTTTTGGCCAAGTTACAGCAAAAAAACCAAAAGAAAAATCCATATTTTTACTAAAACCCAGATCCCAATTTTTCACAGCAAAATAATTATTTTTTAGACCGTAACAATGGGAATATTGATCCAAATATTGAATGTCATACCTTTCTGAAATCGTTGTTAAATTTCCAATCGATTGGCATTTAAACCTGGATATTTAATATGTTGGCCATTTTTTGCAAAAAAACATGCGCGGATCCAAAAAATTGTTCTGATATCACCCCCAGAACAAAATCGTAGATCCGCCACTGATCCATCTACCATTTCAAAACTCACCGAATGCGTGTTCTCCGAGTTGATCAGCTGCATGTCCTGGTCATCGTTATCCCCGCCACTGGTGGGCGTGCCCCAGACCTCCTCGCCACTGGTGGCTCCCGAGGTGCACTCGTCCATCTGCTCATCCGTCTCCGAGGCGGCTCCCTGCTGCTGCTGCTGTTGCGAATCGCCGGCATTCCAGCGACCCAAATACTTGTCTATAAAGGCCCGCGACTCTTCGAAAAAGGACATCTTGTCGGAGACATAGGCTCCCGCCCGATTTGTCCACGCTCCACTGGCCAGAACCTCGCCATTGACCATCACCGCTGATGATGAACTCGCGGCGGCACCCAAATCGTTTTGCACCAAGGCTCGATCCGAATCCGCATCCTCGTCGTCATCATCATCATCTCCATCGTCCTGCTCATTCGGGGGACTATTATGACCGTTCGGCGTAAAGGGCTCCATGTCGTCGTCCAGCTCATCGGCCTCGTCCATGCGATCGTCGGAGGGCAGCTTCTCCAGACTCGACATGGTGCCGAATCGCCGGAGGGCACTGCTCATGGGTCGATAGGGTGGTTCCTCGTCCAAGGGCGATTCGTCGCACGAGTCCTCTGGTATATTTTCGATAATCGCCTGCCTGGGCTGCTTCGTTGTCGTGGTGGCGGTACTGGTGGTGGTGGTTTCGGTTCCGCCATTTCCATTTCCATTCGAGGAGGAGCCACCGCTATTGTCCCACACATGAGTGCTCGTCTTGGTGAGCACCGAATCGGGTGTGGGCGGGACCACAGCTATCGTGGGTGTACTGTTATCCTCCTCCCTGACCTCCTTGATCCTCTCCTGGCCGCAAAGTTTGACAGCGGCAGCCGGAGCGAATTGGGCCAGGCCAATGAGCATCAGGGACAACTGTTCGTCCTCCTGCTTTTGCTGCTGCTGCAGTGTGGTGGCCGTTTGCTTAGGGGACTCCAAGAGCTTGCATGTCTGGTGCTCCATTTTATCGGGCGAGAGCTGGGCGTGTGTGAAGTCCTCCGGGGTGCAGCGACAATGGCAGGCGGCATATTTGGCCGGGGAACCACCACCACCACCACCCACCGATCCTCCACCAGATCCTCCCTTCGTTGGACTGCTTCTCATTATCCTGGCCGTCTCCGTGATGGTCACAATGGCCTTAACCTGCTGGTTGGCCTTGGGCCGACTGAGTGGCTCCTGGCACATTTGGGCCACAATGCGGGTGCGACGTGGTGGTGGCAGCGGCTTGGGCGAACCACAGTGGCCATTGGGCAGGGATGAGGCTGCTGTGCTGACTGGTGGATCTAGATGACGTAGCTTGGAGCTTGGCACTGCGATTGGGATTGGGGCTGAGATGGAAACGGGAAGAGGGATCCCTTCGCCGGCACTGCTGCTGCTGTTGGGCATCGCACCGACGCTGTCATCGGTGGCCTCTGATTGCGATTGCGAGATTTCATCGGTTATCAGCTGGGCCACATCGCTCTCGGTGTCGCCGGTCTCCCGGCGACTGCTACTCGCAACCACCTTGGAGGACAGCTCCCCGGTGATGGTGCTGCTGGACATGCTGGTCACGCTGCCGGTTGTTCCCGTCCGATTGCTCATCTTCGGATTGGACATTTCGGTCGCAATGCCGTTGCTCAGTTTGCAGCAGCGATTCGGCGACGATTGGCTGTGCTGCACTTTCAGCGAATTGCAGAGCAGGACGGGCGTGGAGCTGGAGTTCTGGACCCCAGTTCCGCCGCCGCCGCCGCTACCAGGACGCACTCCGCCCGGTCCGCTCTGCTGGCAATTCTTGTGGCAATGACGGCAAACGGCCAGCTTGTCCAGCACTATGGGACTCGAGCGTACGGTGATCTGGCGTTTGAAGAGTAAATTGCAGAGATGGAAAGGTAGGGGGAGAAAGAGCAGGGTTAGCATTGAAGGCTACAAGTAAGCGGGCAGGGGATTTTAAGCTATTAAAGTAGTGCAAAAGGTGTCTAAAAGTTTTTAATCCGACTCGAAGGACCACTACGGATGTTTCTTAGCACTTAACAATGATCTTTGTTTTTTATGCCTCAATATATATTTTAAAATCCGGCTCGAGGGACCAAATACCAAACTTTAAGCATTTTAAAAATATCTTTGTTTTATATGCCCAAAGTATGCCTCAATATATATTTTGAAATCCGGCTCGAGGGACCAAATATCAAACTTTTTACGAATAAAGGACTTTTTACCGAGCCTACCCAACTAATCCAATCCCAATCTCACCTGGCTGTCCGACGTGGTGCTGTGCGACTGACTGATCACACTGGTCACGCCCTCCGCCTCCGACGTGGAGTATATATCCGAGGTGGCGCTCATGCTCAGCTCCTCGACGCCGCTCAGCCGCTTGCCCCCGAAATTGGGCTTTGCCGACAGGCCGCCATTCTCCTTGGCCAAATTCAGCTCCTTGGTGCGCTTCTCCAGCTGCTGGCGCGTCCAGTAGGTGATCCGTTCGTCCTGCTCGCTGTCGCTATTGAAGATCAGCTGCTCGTCCTCGGCACTCACGTTCTCTTGCGACCGGGCGATGGCCGCCAGTCGAGCCTGCTGCTGCTGCTTGTCCAGCTGGCCCTTCATCCAGTTGGCCAGGTGCAGGGCACTAGACTTGGGAGTGCCCGTCTTGTTCAGGATGCGGCACTTCTCGTCGATCAGCAGCTCGATCTGCTCCACATGGCCACCATGGACCCCGTGGCTGTGGCCGTGGGCTCGATCTGCGCACCTTTCGGTGGCCACTCCTCCGGCGGAGTGGGAATTGTTGTTGCGCTGCTGGAAGAAGGCAATGAGTTGATACTGATACATTACCTGGACCACCCGGGACCCATTGGATCTTGAGCTCAAACCATCACCACACCACCAGCACCACCCACTGCCACCCGCCTATCGTTTGGCAAATTAAAATTTGTGATGGGCTCATTAGCTTTTTGGATTTCTTGCTTTTGCTTTGCTCGGGCCCTGCTTTGTGTTTGCTTTTGCTTTGCTTTTTGGCTTTTATGCTTTTTAGCTGAGAGAAATCTTAGTTTTTCTGTCTTGCGAAGCGGTGAAACGGAACGGAAACAATAATCTCAGTCCATCTTTGATTAAAAACGCTTGCTCTTGGCTAACAATGGAATCGGGGTTAAGAGGTACTTGAGGACTTTCGAAAGATATACATGTAGGACACAGGACAACGGGTACAGTCACAGAACAAACAACTAATAAGCAATGGAAGTTGAAATAAGTTTCGAGAATAGGAGGAAGCAATTCGAACTTAAAACTAAAATTGAGTCCATCACAATTTTTAATTTATCAATTTTGGTTTTTGATTGTTTTTCTCTTTTTTTTTTCTCCATGTTTTAAAGAAGATACTTTTTTTTTTGGTTTTCTTTCTGCGGATCGCAGTGTTGACCAGGATCTGTATTATGCGGAGCTATATGGTAATTCAGTGAGTGCTCGGTGGGTTTCTACTTGGTTTAATTTTACTGCGTTTTTCCTTTGTGTTTTTTTTTCTTTTTTTTTGTTCGGAAGTGAAATAAAAAGAACATTACAAGCGTTTTTAGTCAAAGAATCATTTGGTTTTATTATTTGAATTCATCGTTTCTCTTCGCAATCTCAATCTCAAAACGGCTCGAAATATCGATGGTCGATTCTCGATCCCCTCGTCTTATGTAAAATGTCGAAAAACCATAAATCGAAAACTTCTAGACATACATAAAGTTTACAGAATATGAATATGAATCTAAATAGTAAGTATATACGTATATATGTATATATATATATATATAGTGTGTGTATAGAAATTTGCTGTTTACTGCTCAAGGCACACACAAAAACCGGACCGCAAAAGACAACGCGGCGTATGCTTGATATTCAACAATCAGTTAAAATTTGCAATAGATGTCTGTGTGTGTGCTCGTGTCTCTGTGTGGGTTTTGTTGTGTTAGTGTGTGTGTGTGTCTGCTATATTTAAACTCCTGGCTGGATGGTGTTTTCAACAAACTGAAGCCGCACTGTGGGACCAAATTGCATTAAGCTACCATAAATGTGATTGAACTTGGATAAATATCTAAAAAATAACAATTACTACACTGAACAATCATTTTTGTCTAGAAAATGTCATAGAATATCTAGAAATAATATTCAAACCAACTACATCTCCTCAATTGAGTGAATTTCGTCCCACTGTGCAAAGGCAATCGAGAGTGCTGATTTATATACTTATACGTAAATATGTTTATGTATGTACGTGGTTAGCTTGAAGATAGATTTTCGAAGGCAACAAAGTGCTTGTCATAGATAATTGACATCGATTGATCAATCAGATACACAAAAGTAGCAAATATCGTTTGCCATCCAGCCAAAAGTCCTTCGACTGAGCAAAGTTTCGTTAGAGTTGGAGATACACATACTGATACTATGTGAATATTTATAGGGATGTCTGTATATATGGGGAAGTAGTATATATACAACTTGGATTTTTTGATTTAGATATTGATTTTGATTTAAATTTAAATTTAAATTTTCTAAATATTCTGGCCAATCGAGTTGAACTTAATTATTGGAGCGAGTCTACGAGAAATTTGGCTAATGGGTCAACTTAGCATACGAGGAGGATCCGATTCGCGGGAGAAACTAGGACTAGGCTAATACGGGATAACAACAGCAATAACAGTAATCAATAGGTTTTCAATTTGGCTACAAAATGGAAGCATTATTAACATTAGTATAATTTCATGTAGGTTTTTCTTCACGTTTCTTTGGTTTTGTTTTTCTCGTTAGATTGGCAAAAATGGTTCAATCGAATGGTTAATACGAATAAAGTGATTAGGTATTTGCAAATATACGCTTATTATAGGTAGATATATACTATATATATATCTGTAAGCTAAAAACTCTCGTAAAACGCAAGCCCCGAAGGGGGTTTTGCATCTGTGTTGTGTATATTTGACTAGCTAATATACCTATATATATATATATATGTCTATATCTAAGGTGTGTATACTATGTATACCCATATATATGTTACTAAAAAGAGCTATGAACTAGCGTTACACACATACAATCGTCATCGAATCTTAATCTCTGCTCTCGTCCAACGGTTCATTGCTATTTACACTCGATTCAAAATCGACTTGGATGGAACGAATACCATATTTACGGGGAGGGTTGCTCAATGTGCTATATGGTATGGGTGTCAATACACGAGTATATATACAATACACAACAGAGATACATACGTACACCTAGAGAGCGATGGTTACATGTCTATGTACAATTTTCCACGGATAATTGTCACTTCTCACTCGCAATTAGAGTCGATTAAACACATATCGCCTGGATCTAGAATATCCTACCTGCAGAAATATCCAAAAGTCCCTAGAATTATAAAATAACTTTCTAGGGAGAAGTGAAGTGAGTTCAACCTATCAAGAAATTCCTTGATCCAGGCGATACACATATTCTTCACTCGATTTTATCTCACTACTCGATTCTCTCGTTCTCGATTCTGATATCCTGGCAAAGTCAATCCCCATTCTTCCAAAGAGAGGCTGCCACTATACACTGAAAAAGTTGTTTTGATTGTGAGCATGAGAAACTTGGCCGAAAGCTGAGGCAAAAGCAGAGCAAAACGGCGCTTGAGCTGAGGATCTATATAGTAGTGTATATAGTAAAGAGATATAGGTTTAGATCAGTGGTAACATAGTTGAGTAAGCTCGTCGATTCAAGGATTCAAGGGATCAAAGGTTCAAAGATTCAAAGATTGTGCGGCAAGGGGCTGTTAACGGGGGGGTCTGACTGTAGCCAGAAGTCAAATCACAGGTCCAGCGAGTCCGGTGGCGTCGGTCTAGTGGGTAGCATGCCAAAGGGATCGTCGTCGTCCTCGTCCTCCTCCTCCTCCTCCTCCTCGTCACTGTCCTCGTCATGTCCCTGCTCACCCACCCCTTCCCCCTCCTCGTCGCCCAGGAAGATGCACTCCTCCACATCGGTGTCGTAGCAGGGATCCATGTTGACCTCGTGCAGCTGAAGGTCGAGCTCCAGGAGATCCCAGGAGCCTCCGAATTCGGCCAGCGGTATATTCGGTGCCTTATTACCCGAGGAGGTGGCCACTACGAAATCATTGGAAAAGGCATCCGAATTGCAGGGCTGCGATGTCGTGGGCGAGATATTCGGCGTCGGCGTTTCGGGCGTCGTCAAGGACACCTGACCACCGATTACCCCCCCATTGGCGGACTCATCGATGAACGAACGGCCCACGGAACTCAGGCTGAATTCGAGGAGTTTCTGGGAGGGATTGGGATTAACGAGCGGCGCTGGTGGCTCACTGGTAACCTCCGGAATGGCCGTCAGGCATTTGCAACTGGAGAGGGACAGAATGGAGGTCGTTTGGGTCTGCGAGTGGCTCTGCGAGTTGTTCAGCGTTTGGGTGTGAACCTGCGTTTGGGTCTGGATCAAACTGGCGCTGCTGCCACCCAGACCACCACCACCCACTCCATTGGGCACCGAGCCATGACCTTGATGGTGACTTTGGTGCAGGTGCAGGTGGTGGTGATTTCGAGCGGGCGAGGTGGTGCGCGAGGGCAGCGAGGTGGTGCAAAGAGGCGGTTGCTGCGTATGCGATTGCGAATGCGAATGCGGATGCGACTGGGACTGCGTCTGGGTGGCGCTGCTCGTGGTGGTGCTGGCACAGTGGTGCCGGACCGCACTGGCCAGCCGCTGAAGATTCTCGTAGGAATCACCGCTGTCCAAACGCTTGCTGCGAAAGAGACGCACCTGCTGTTTCTGCTGCTGCTTCAGGTGGATGCTGTCCAGCGAGGGCAACTTCATCGAGCCCATCGACGCGGTGGTCAGTCCAATGTCGCTCAGCGGCACCAGCGTATTGAGCACGTCCGGCGAGTCCAGGGGGCTGGAGAGGGGCGTTGAGCCCAGAGCGGCATTAACTAGAAAACTGGGGGAAGAGTGGGTAGGTTAGTGGGTTCGGGGTTTCTTTTTCTTTATACCCTTGCAGAGGGTATTATGATTGCAGTCAGAAGTTTCGTCTGTCCGTCCGTCTGTCCGTTCGTCTGTCCGTTCGTCTGTCCGTTCGTCTGTCCGTCCTTTTCTAGGCAAACTAGTCTCTCAGTTTTAAAGCTATCGGGCTTAACCCTTCCCAAAAGTCTTCTTTCTTTTGCAGGTAGTATATAAGTCGGATCGGACAACTATATCCTACAGCTCCCATAGGAATAATCGGAAAAATAAAAGAAAAAAATGATTGCTTCGATGTTTCTTGACGTTTTACCTTCTTCTCTTAGGATCATTATTTTTTATATATTTCTGAGTTTCAAATTAAATTTGATCAAAATCGGACGACTATATCATATAGCTGCCATAGGAACGATTGGAAAATTAATGGGAATATATTAGGAAATAAATTATTGCTTCGTTGTTTTTTATTGTATTCCCTTCTACTCCGGGATATGACTCTTTTTAAATATTTTTGAATTTCGATTTTAATTTTATCAATATCGGAAGACTATATCATATAGAAATATAACACTTTTGCTATTTGTAAACTAACATGAATGATCTGCAAGGGTATATAAGTTTCGGCGGGCCGAAGCTAGCTTCCTTTCTTTCTTCGAGCTCACTTACATCTGCCGCTGTAGAAGATTCTGCCACACGGCCTTGAGCTCCAGCGAGGGGGCCCTCAGAATGAGACTCTTGCGACGGGCTCCTCGTTTCGGAGTGCGGGTGAGATCGGGGGCACAGTAGCCCGTGGGACTCTCCGCCAGCCGTCCATTGGGATCCACAGTCAAACGGAACTCGGTGGCTAAAAAGGATAAATCGGATATCAACTGAAGAACTCAAGAAAAACCATTTGCACTCACTTTTCTTACGCATGTGAAAACAAGAGTCCACCACATTGGCGATGGGAATGGGCTCCTCGGTGATGAAGAGCACTCGATCCCGGCTGACCTTGGCGAACACAATGATGTCGCTGAAGAGCAAAGTCCAATAGGGTTTCACCGAGCGGCCCTCGACCCGGGACAGGTCACCGCCAAAGATCCACTGACGACCCTGGACGGCCAGGGTGAAGGGCTTGCATTTGGTGAAGACCATGCGGGACTCCAGATCCTGGAGGGTCAACAAAGGACGACCCTCGCCCAGGGGCTCCATCAGGCCACTGCTGACGGTGATCTCCCGGTAGGCGGCCTGTAGTTCGTTGATCACCGTGCTGAAGTTCTTGTGCTCCTCCGTGTCCACGTGGCAATTCCCCGCCAGCAGCTGCATCAGCTTGAGGATCTCGCGGAAATGCTGCAGCGGCCGATGGATGAACATGGTGAGATCGGGTCGCTTGCGCGGCACAGCCGGTTCCGTGATGAAGGCTATGAACTCGGAGCCCGTCTGCCGCGACTTGTTGACCAGCACACAGTCGGCCCGCTTGATGCCATTGCAGTACTTCTTGTAGGCCGCACAAATCGCCGTCGTCTTCGATAGATAAACTCGCGAGGCGAAGTTCATGTGCGGCTCCTGATCCTGCTGATCGCTGCTGCACAGCTGCTCCAGGATGTCCTCTGCGATGCGCAGCAGCTCGTCGATGTTCTGGAACAAAGTGCGATGGTCGTTCGGCGAGATCAGATCCTTTCGCTCCACCAGCGGCTGCACGAATCGGTCCACTCCGAAGTGCAGGGCCGCCGTGAAGTTCTGCTCCCGGCTGATCAGCTGCAGCAGGAAGCGCCGCCGGTTGTCCGTAATGGGCACAATCGACTAAAGTTAGAGGGGGTTTACTAGTTAATGACTAGTTGGTCTTGAAAATATTATAGATATTGCCAAGGAACTCTATGCAATTTAACCAAGCTCTTTAGTAGCATAACTTTTGGGGAAAGTATTTTCTAAAAATTAAAAATATTATAAATATTGCACAGGAACTTTATGCAATTTAACCAAGCTCTTTAGTAACATATCTTTTGGGGATAGTATTTTCTAAAAATTAAAAATATTAAAATATTGCCAAGGAACTTTATGCAATTTAACCAAGCTCTTTAATAACTTAACTTTGGGGATAGTATTTTCTCTAAATAAAGTCGTGTAAAACCAATGCAAAAATTTCAACGAAACACAACACACAAAAAAAAAGAATGTTTTCGTAAAATCGATATGGCCATGTAAATTTTTCGTTTTTACATGAAATACTCTTTTTGACCAGGTCAAATTTACCTGGCCACATATCAAATTAAAATTGATCTTAAATAATGTAAAATCGATCTACATTTCATATTGATTTTATTGATTTGTCTCTTCTCCTAAATCTCTAGATGTTAAATAAAAACGCTGAAATTTTGTACAAATAATCAACATAAGCTAGTGAACATATAACAATATTTTTCCAATAATAATTAGCACTTTCCATTAGCAAACATAAAACCAATCAAAAAATCGAAACTCAAAAAGGTGGGTTTGAAAAAAAAGATTTATTGTCAAGCGTTGTGGGGTTTCGCAGGGAGCTCTTGGGACTCTCAAACAAATCAGAGGCCTCGGCTAGGCAAAAAAAAAAAGGGATAAATAATTAGATAATAGACAATTAGATAACCAGCATGGCCATAAAACTTAGACACATAAACTTAACAGATAATTATGTACACACAAAGACACGAAAAAATTAAAAAAAAAAAAGAAGATGATCCCTAGACAAAGACACCTTTGCCTACCTCCTTGCTGAAGGTGACCTGCGGCAGGTGGAGCCTCCGCTTGGCCGCCTCGATGGAGGAAGTGGTGCCCGAGCAGGCGGTGGCCGGTCGGCTGAGGCTATTCAGCTGAGGCTGCACGATCCTCGTGCTGGGCGTCCTCTGCAGACTGCTGCTCATCACAGTGGTCGTTCCGGTGGCGGTGGTGGCCAGAGTGTGCTCCTCGCTGCCTATCATCTGCCGCTGACTGCCCACATTGTTCTGGCCCAAGTCCGCCACCGTGGTAATGGTTGTGGCGCCCGCGCCTGACCTTCTGAATATCTCCAACGTCAAGGCCGAGCCCTGCGATCGTATCAAATTCAGAACATCAGCCTCGGGCATCGTGACCACATTGTGCTTGTCCACAAAGATCACATAGTCGCCGGGCAGGATGCCGCACCGGTCGGCGGACAGACCCGCCTCGATCTTCTCCACCCGCGGCGGATGTGTCCAAACGATGGAGAATCCAAAGCCCCGCTCCTCGGTGCGAGTGAGTCGCTTAGTCATGGTGAAGGGCGTTCGTCCGGCCTGCTGGCGGGCAGCTCCTCCGGATGATCCTCCTCCTGCACTGTTTGGCATAGTGGACTGCCTCCTGCCACCGGATGGTGTCCCATTGTTCAGGTGATTGGCATTACTCTCGTTGGCTTTCGCAGCCGCCGAGGATTGGCTGCCCGCTGATTGTGCCTGATTGGTACTCGTATTGGCATTCCCATCCGCCGGCGGATCGAGTTCCAGGAATCTCAGAAATAGATTCTCATCGGCGTCCCGCTGATGGAGGGCCTTCTTGCTCAGCTTCATCGGCTGCTGGGGCTGCTGGGGCATCAGCAGGGGATCCTCCTTGCCCATGCTATCAATGCTGATGCTGATTACCTCGTCGTTCAGTGGCATGGCCACGGATCCCGAACCCGAAACGGATCCCGAGGCTACTGGTTTTTGGGGCGTTACTGTGGCGGCGGCTGCCATTTCCTCTGAATGTTCCCGATCCTGATCCTGATCCTTGACCGCTTCCTGCTTTCTCGCTTTCGATTGACTCTGGCGGTTGTTAGGCGGCGGACATGCCTGTGCCTGCAGCTTGTAGGATCCTGCCGTGACGCCCGAATCCGGATGCACTAGCTCATTCAGTGGAAACGTGCTGCAGCCCAGGAACTCGCTGCGTCTGTAAAACAGAATGGGAAAATGCCAGTTAGCAGGGAATATTTCATGGCGAACGATTGGATCAAATCGATGTGTTGAAGAACCCCTGACAAACTGGGCAAACTAATATGGCCATTAAATATAAATGTCCGCCGAAATCCTTGGCCCCTTGGCAATTGCTTTTCGATAATACCCAGTGGCACCTAAAACCTGAAACCTCAAAGCCCCATACCCATTTTTTTTTTCGGTCAGTTTGCGTCACGTTGCAACGTCCGTTGGACATTGTCTATTTATAAGCGAGTGAAGGTGGCACGCCCGCAGCTGATCCAATCCAATCCGCCCCCTTTCCCTTCAGAGGAAAACTAGTTTTCCTCGTCGTACGTGACATAAATCAATTAGCGGCCCTAAGCTGCCGCCACATTCCACATTTCCACATGCCACAAAGTACGAAGTACATGTGGCCCGGAAATGCGCTTGGCCCGGCCAATTTGTTGGGGGTTTCGGGGGGTTGGGGGGGTGGTTTCCCAGTGGGTGGTATGACAGTGGCTTGAGGCTCAGTGCTGCTTCTTTTCCACTGGCCACTTTAGCTGAAGTTGGCGCGCGTATTTGGGTCACTTTTATTGATTTTCCTTGCGGAGTCCGGGGGTTTCTATTTTTCTTGTTTTCCTTTTCCTTTTTTTTTGGGGCGATTGCAATCGCAGCTGTCAGTTGAAGGGAGGTGCATTAAAAATGTTGGGCATGCCACAACCACCTCCACTTTGTGCCGAAAAGCTGGCCATAAATTATTCAGCCGCCGAGTCGTTTTGTAAATTGACTTAAAACGTTCCTTTTTGGCCTAGACTATTTTCACAACTCGGGCGGATGGTAAATTATGCATGGCCAGCAAATAAAAGCAGGTGCGTGTGAAATGTATGGTTCCCGGGTGTACATTTAGTTAGTTGGCCACTTCAATTAGCTGTTGAAAGCAAAAAGAAGGCAAAATACAAAGTACACACAAAAAAAAAAAAAAAAAAGAAAAAGGAGAATGTATGCGTGAGCTGGTGATTATTGCATAATCGCCTTAACCACTCGCATCGATTTGGCCATTAAACTTGGCCACTTGACCATTAATTTTGTTAATACTTTTCAAGTACTCCTCGCCAAATGAATGTCCTTGAATTTTAATTAACTTTCTAGCATGCTGCGAAAAGCCCTCACACAGATACTCCAAAGCACGCACACACACACATAGACGCGCGTACAGGACTTCCACTTCCTGTTCGCAATTTGTTTAGCAGCATGCCCGAAATTATGCTACACTTCCCGTGCTTCACACACACTCACGCACACAGTTATATAAGTTTTCGTTGCATACTTTTTTGGGCAGTCCTTCGAGATAATACACTATTATTACTTCAAGGCACTTTCATTCAACAACAAAAAAATAAACAAAATGTGATATTTAAACCCCTTTTCTTTCGGGTTCCGTTCCGCTAGGATATATCTTTTTTTTGTGGGCCTACTTTGCCTCGATTTCCTGCGTGTTCGAGCGTTGCCAGCCGTTTTTCGTCGCTTTTCACGCGAGCTTGCCACTCGGACTGAGTAACGGGAACTGAGCTGGGAAAACTCGGGGAAAGCACACACCAGCACACCAGGAGCAGCGCAGGTCAGCCCGGGAAAGTCGCTGGAAGTGGCCACTGCGCCCGCGCTGGAAAATCTCGTATAGCTGGAAAAGCCTTGTTTATGTGCAGGAAATGCACTGGGAAAGGCGACAGGCGGAAGGCGAAAGGCGCTGGAGGTGCCACGAGGCCAGGAAGAGCGCCACAATTAACCAGACTTGGTCTTTTGCCTGTCTGTGGAGTAGAAAGCCCCCTTGTTTTTCCCCCTCGATAAACCTCGTTCTCTTCCAGAACTTCCCCCGATAAACGTTTTAGGGGTGAATGACTTACAACGATGATGGCACGCGCAAAAAATGGGGATATTAGATGGGGGTCAATGTGGTCATATTTTATAGCAATCAATTGATGTTAACTGGATGGTAGAAAGCAAATATTTTGCCTGATAACAAGGGGATATTTTAATATTATAATAATATAATAAATTATAGAATTTTAGGGGTTCCTAGTTGAATTCTGCATATAACCTTTATAGATTCTGAACTTTTATATAATTTGCTTATATTTTAAAGTCCAATTAATAAGGATTTCTCTAGAGATGTATACAAAAATTGTATATTATTTTTTTTAGTCTGAATTTGTATATAATTTGCTTCTATTTAATAAGGATTTCTCCATATAACCTTTATATAGTCGGAATTTTTATATTATTTGCTGCTATTAAGAGATGTATACAAAATTTGTATATTATTTTTCAAAGTGCACATCTTAAATTTCAGGGGTTACTTTCTTGATGCTTTCTTGGCTTTCGACCGTACTCGTACTCACTTTAAATGACGATCCCGATGCCACACGGCCAGCTGAAGCTGCTGCAAAGTGGCCTCCTCCTCGCCACTGGAAACCTGGAAGCTGAACCGCTGATCGAAGTACGGACGACCCGAGTGCCGATGGACGGCGGTGCGTTGATAGCCGGAACTCATGCTGCCCCCGGAGCCACCAGGACCTCCTCCTCCTCCTCCTCCGGATAGAGCCACCTTGACGTAGGCATTTATACTGCCATTTCCACTGCCATGGGAACGCTGCAAGTCGCGACAGCGAATCACTGCAATGGGTAAATTAAAAACAGGTGAGTCGGGTAATGAATCTCTCTGAATGAGTCTCCCAAAGCAGACGTCTCCCCTGATAATCCTATTTAGAGAAATTGAGTTTGGCCCTCCCTTTGACCAGTAAACCAAATTAAGTTCACTGGCCATAATAAATTCTATTTGTTTAAAGACTGGCAAGGGGTAAATGAAATATATCGGAGGGCTAGCCTAGCATTTAATTTGAAATTAAGACTATGAAGATTTTAACTTGTTAGAAATATGCAAGCAAATCCAGGATTTCTTGAAAAAGTTCTAATAAATTCCTAGGGTCTTTGGAACTCACCATGTACATTGAGTTGCTGCTCCTTGGCATCGTAGGAAATGCTCACATCGATGCTGCCCCGCTGACTGGATTCCAAATCGCTGCTAGGTGAGGAGGTGGAAGTGGATGCCAGCGAACTCCGTTTGGCCACCTGCTGCTCCTGCTGCTGCTCATCCTCGTCCAAATCACTCGATGCGGAGCTGGATGAGAAGCTCAGACAGCGCTTGGTGCTGGGAATCAGCTGCAGCTGCTCCATTTTCTTCGCCTGGTGTATCTGCGTGGTGGTGGTTTGGGTTTTGTGCGGGTTTTTGCGACGCACCACCCGCTGCCTCTTCAAGTGGGTGGGTGTGCGCACCTCCATTTCGTGGACACTGGTCTCGCTCCACTCGCCGGAATGCTGATTATCTGGCAGAATGGAGGTGGTTATGCTACTGGTGGCAGTGGCTACTCCCAGTGGCTTCCGCACCTCCTTCCTGGCCGACTCTATGATGGCGTCCAGCATTCGATCCAATGTGGTGTCACCCATTCGTGATGAAGATAGCTGCGAATCCTCGAGAGCCAGTGCCGCACCATTGGTGCCACGTGGCAAGCATCGCAGGGCCGCCAATTGTGGCGTCGCCTGGCGGGGACCACTGCCCTCGCTGAAACTCCTGCGCTGCGGACTCTTGCCGTGCACATTGCTCAGATCCTGCAGGGCAATCAGGCTGGCATTGCCAAAGGGACTGCTCATGAAGTGCACCCCGAAGTTCTCCTTGTTCGCCTCCCCCGCCCCCGCCCCCGGCACGCCCACGCCGCGCCGCCGTCCACGCGACTCCTCCACCACGGCACTGGAACTCGAGTGGCGATGCATCCGTGTCATGGTTGGCATGTCCCTACTGGAAAAACGCAAAAAAAATAAGGAACAAAATGTGTGATTAATTGGTAAATTCTTCTATGATAATAATATGGTTTATCTTAATATTCTGGAATTTCTTAAAATCTATCTAGTTAAAATTTATTAACTGCCTTGGATATGTCCCTACTGGAAAAACGCAAATAAATAAGGAACGAAATTTTTGATAATTTAGGAAATATGTAATAATATGGGTTATCTTAATATTCTAGAATTTTTTTAAGTCTATATAAATAATGGTGTCTCTTAATATTCTAGAATTTCTTAAAATCTATATAAATTTTAACTGCCTTCAATATGTCCCTATTGGAAAAACGCAAAAAAAAAAGAACAAAATGTGTGATTAATTGGAAAGTTCTAATAATCTAAGAAAATTGGGTATTACTATAATAATATGGTTTATGTTAATATTCTAGAGTTTCTTAAAATCTATAGGTATAAATTTTAACTGCCTTTGATATTTTAAAATTGGCTAAAGGGTTTTTATAACTTTTATTGGAAAATATAAATTTTATTTAAATATTCCCCAATTTTTTTGAAACTTTTCTGACACGTTTCTTTCAGCCGTAACATTTTTCCACCAATCCATATAGAATAGATTATTCTAGATGATTTCCCAGGTCTTCGGTTCCGTTCCATTCAGTTCAGTTCGCTTAGGTCCTTAGTCTCGGTCCGCGATCCTCGCGATCCTTGGTCCTCGGCAGCTGGCTGCCAAACAAGGGGATTAGAGCGACGGGTTCCGATCTGGTTTTGCTTTTCGCCTTCCCATTCTTATGCTGTCCTTTGGAGTTCTTGGTTTTTGGTCCTTGGTTTTTGGGAACTCTTCCAGACAATTTCGAGGCAGAAAAACAGCGGCAACAAATGAAGGAGGCAAACAAAGTGCCGGACAAAGCAGGAAATTTGCAAATTGTTTTTGCGGCAGAGCAAAACGAGTTCGAGTTCCAGCTCGTCCTTCGTCCTTCGTCGTTCGCCGCTGTCCTTGCGAAATTCAGGTTTGCATTTAAATTGAAATTAAACTTATGCTAATTTCCCTAACAGATTTCTGCGCTGCGGTTGCCAACCATAAAATTGAGCGGCTTCTTCCTTGGGCAAAGGATTCTCTTCCCTAGCATCCTTGGCCCTGCGATCCTTTTTAGCTATCTGTGCGTGTGTGAGTGCGTGCAACAATTACGCCCCAGCATAATGATGCCATTTTGCAAAATGTGCGGCAATCGGCAAAGCCAAAAGGGGCCTCAAAGGATCGTCCCAGAGATCCTAGAGATCCTGGATCCATTGTCTTCCACGGCGAACGAGAGCGAGACGGAAAATGGGTTTTCATGTAATCCATAAACGTCACCCCAGCCCCAGAATAAGATGAAAAGCCGGGCGAAATTGCACGAGGAAAGGCAGCCGTTAAAGGCGAGCAAAAAAAATATTTTCTTTCCAGCCCAAGATCCTTTCAAGGATCTGTGTGTGTGCTTGTGTGTGTGTGACTTGTGCCCGGAGGATTAGCTCGGGGTGGTAGGAAAAAAAATTAAGTTGAGGGAAAAAAACACACAGCAACAAATTAAATGTATTAGAGGACGCACCACCCCTTTTATTTTTTCTGCTTGTGGGCCCCGAGATCTGGATCTGGATCTCTCTGTCGCCAGGGGTTAGGGTCTTACGTCCCTTTCTTCCCTTCTTCCCTTGGCCAAATTAAAATTAGAGCTAGAGCAAAGACAAACACGACGGCCTCATGGGTGCGATCGCAATTGTTTTTTCTTCCTGGGCATTCCAGGTGTGCCGCCGCCGTTTCGGAAACCGAGCTTATCAAGCGATCTATCGATCGATCTAAATGGACAGATCGATCATATCCTTGGCTCGGATTGTATGACTTGCAGGGTGTGGGACTTACCTGGTAACTTGATCTGCTTGCGACTAGGTCGCCTGGAGAACTCTAGTTCAATTTGATTTACAGCACTGATTTGTTTTAGGCGAGCGAACTTCACAAGTCGATGGAACACCAAAAATTTAGAAGAATTTTTGCACGAAAAAAAAAATATTAAGCCAAATAAGTTATTTAAGCCAAAGGAGTTTCTGTTATTTTTTGTAATTTTTCCAGTTCACAGTTCACGTGACTGCTTTGCACGAGGTCAGAAACGGAAATGATGATCAGCGCAGGCGCACGTTTCACCAAAGGCTCGCGACGAAGTGCGAAACACGAAGCCGAACGAAGACGCACGAAGTTAAACGAAGTGGAAAACCAACCACCAAAGAGAGTAATGAAAGCAAACGTGGTTCGAAACTCTCTTTGATTTCTCTGATTTTGCGGGAAGACTAACGGAATCCCAGTTGTGGGAAAAAATAATACTGTAGATTAGATAAGTAGAATAAGAAGCTATACTTCTCATATCAATTGCTTTCTGTTATCAAATATTTGTGGGAAACGTTAGATATCGAAAGATATTGAGATGTGGTGGGAAAGTCGTGATTAAAGATAATGATTTATAAAGGGGTTTTGAAGTCCAGATTAAGTTAGTTATTTATTATCATACTTGGGGGGAAATAAAAGATAGGAAATCTAGTGAATTTATTGATTTCCAGCTGAAGGAAAATAATCCAAAGGGATTTCTACCCATAGGTTCAGGTTTTCAGGACCTCAGCACCTCAGCTGATCTGAGTTTCAGCCACCGTCCGCCAGGGGGCGATGGGGTGAAAAGTAAGAGCACTCTCCCCGAAAACCAGGAAAACCTCCTGTTGAACAAATCTCTCTCTGCTCTTTTCTCTTTTCTCATCGCTCCCTAATCTCTCCGCTCTGCTAAGCAGGTAAATCCCGGTCGAATGGATCCTTTGTGTTTTGGCCAGACTTTGCTTTTTGCCTCCGCCTCTGCCTATAGTTATATATATCTGGCCCTGTATATATTCCGAACAATGATCGCTGGTCCACACGGACAGCTGGCGAGGAACTGTAAAAAAAGTGGGAGATGGGAAATGGGAAATGGGAAAAGAAAGAAGGAAAAGAATGGAAACCCACACGGCGACGTCGCAAGGTGTCTTAGCCCAGATTTGTCTCGTGTGTTGTCCAAAAATGTGGAACAATTGTTCCAAAGGGGAAGCCAGAATCTGCAGCGGCAGCAGCAGAAGCCAAGATCTTCGGGACTACAAAAACAGTAGCCTAATGTCTCTGTCCAGGGATATATCGGTCATTACTTTCACTTTGATTTGTACTTGGTCCCAACAAAATCCCAACTGCCATTGTGCGTAGGCGGCAATTTACGAGCCGAAGCTTCGGTAAATATTTGCCCAGATGCCAGGATCCGAATTCGAATCCGAATCCTGGCTGGACGGCAGGACTCGTGCCCTATATTAGCAGCCGGTTGGCCATGTTTATGTGACATGCGCTGTCGATCTTCGGATTTTACGATCTCAACTTTTCGGCCCGAAAAAGGGAATTCAATGCGATCATAATGGCAATGCAATTCTCATTGCATATTCCTCGAGGATTCGATGCGATTGCAGTTGGCGGGGGAGTTTCGTGGAAAACCGAGCGAGTACTTGAGAATACGGTTGCCCAATCCCGCTGAGACCGCTCGAGTCCTTCAAGTCCTTCAAGTCCTTCAGTCAATAGTCGGACAGCTGTGGATCTGTTATGTCATTGTATCGACAGATAGTTCTTCAGCTGACTATTGATGGAAAGTTCTTGACTTTTGGCCAGGGGAATATTTAATGAGCAATCAATAGGCGGTTTTTGAACCCTTGAGGGCTTCGATGTTCAGAAAAATATCTTGGAATCCAAGTATATTAGAAAAAACTTTGTATTAAAGTTATGAATGGCAAACATTTAAGCGTATTTTGCCATCTGATTCAGCCCACATTAGGGAAATCTTTTGATATGCAAGGAACCCTTTATAAGACTTTCCCTTTAACCCCACCAAAAAAAAACAGAAACTCAATCATGTTTGCGCTTTTCAAGGCCGCTGGCTGAGATTCGAGGGCAGATCAGATTTTGAGGCTGATCTTTGTCTCTGTAATTGATACGATTTCCATGTTTTCGTAATTCGCGCTTCATTAGAATCGAAATTAGCAACAACAACGGACGGGGAAGGGTTAGGGCCCATCGATTCGGGGTGGATTTGCCATTTGTGTGTTGGCAGTTGTGCAAAAAATGATCTAAATCGATTATAAATTCAATTTGAATCCCGATAGAGTCGAGGGTTTGGCAAACTAATTGCGAATGCATTAGGCATTAGCCTTTTGGGTTGACACAAACGCGAACCCAAACCCCTTGACATATTTGGGTGGCCCGAAAATTTGCCTAATTTGTGCGAAACTTGATTTTCGGCTTGTAAGCGATAAATATTGCGGGGATTTCGGGGATTAGCGAGCTGAATTTGCATGCCAAAGTTGCACGGGGAAAATGCAAATGTGGGAAAGTCGGAAAAGATGTGGAAGTATTTAGAACTAGAAAGAAGACGAGAGAAAGAGAGAGAAATAGATCCCTGATCTGGGAAAAATCGAAGAGGACTTTTGATTGACAGGCCGACAGGACGCGCCCCGAAAAAGGACTTTTCCGCAAAGAGAGCAAGAAAACGACTCCGATGTCCTTGTTTTGTTTTGATATTCACTTCACACAGACACATATACTGAATCAGATACAGATACATAGACTCATGCTGATCTGCTTTTGCTTGAAATTTGATAAATGACCAAAAAATGGCAGCCACTGCTTCGAGGTCCTCTGAGGTCCTTCGAGGTCCTGCTGTTGCCAGGAGCAAAAATCAAAAAAAAAAAACTCTGGGGGTGGGCAGCCAAACTAGCAGCACCCTTCTCAAGACCGCTGCATTTCCTAAAAATCAAATTAGTGCAGCGCTTTTTTCCACTCTTATTCTCTAACAAATTTCCGTGTTTTTTTCGTCGTACAGTTTTTTTCCACCGCCAAATTTGCATTTCTCACCGGGCTCTCCGCCGAATCGGGTGAAAAAAAAGGTTTATCCACCCGAAAAAAGAACGAGGGAAAAAAAAGAGTTGTCTGCACTGCAAATCCTTTGGCTCTCGTGTCTCGTGTGTCTGCAGTTGCATCCTTTTCGTCCTCGTACCCACAAAATAATTCTCAGACATTGCGGCGCCCTCAAGTAATTTGACAGGCAGGAATCCGAACGAAGCGACCGCCACGAAAAAAACAAACGGAGATTCGAAATAATGCAGCTCACTGTTTTTTTTTTTAGCCAAAAACCCGAGGAAAAAACTAGAAACTTGTTATGCAGCATGTCAAGTCGCCGAATGACATTTGGCAGCCTGATTTACGAGGCCCCAGGCTCTGATTTTCTTCACAAGCGCATTTATCGAAGGATGCGGATGCGGATGCAGCCTGCGATCCTTGATCCTCCGGGATCTTCATTTCGGCAGTTACCAAAAGCCATCTTCAGACGATCGCCGTGGGGCACAGCCGGTAAAAAACCGAAAGCCGAAATTTAATTGAAAACCTCTGTCCTTAAAGCCGAAAAAAAGGGTTTCTAAAAAAAAAAAGTATAGCCCAAAGAAATTTCTTTGAGAACAAATACTATTAAATAATTCCCTTCTTCTAATTGGTTATTAAAAAAATACCTTACCTATGCCATTAGTTATTATGTTTCTTTTAGAAATAAGCATTTTATTTAATTAAAACTAAATTTAATTTAAAATAAATTAAGGATTATGTCTTACGTTTTAAACTTTTGGGATATTAGTTCTATAAGTTGTGAATTTTTACCTTTAGTTCTTGGAGTTTACAAGTTTCTTCTAGACATGCATATAAATGTATAGTATTGTCCTTACTCTTGGCATTGAGGTTAAAGATCTGGCAGAATCGGCCAACAATCTCCGATTGCCGCTGAACCCACACCTTTGCCAACTGGGCCAATGAATGCATATTACAAACGATCAATCAACCTTTAGACGACCATCGATCGATCTATCTGGCCGCCTACGAGCTGGTTTTAATGGCTCACTTAAGCACCTCGACTTGAACCCCCGACATGATACGAGATCCCGGCCCGAATCGCTCAAATGGAGAGCTGATCTCTGTCCGTTTCCGGGGCGAACTGTCAACGAGCACTAATTAGAATGTCAGCCGAGGTCCTGGTCAAGCCGCAGGACAACCCACACCGCAGTGGAAACCGCAGCAGTTGCTGCAGCCCACACCATGCCACATCCACATACAGAGAGAGATATGTGGCACGCCACACAGTACAATCGCAGCAACTCCCTGACGGATTGATTGGAATGATTAATGACCGGGCCAGTGTGGCATTGCGTGACAAGTTTGTTAGTAAATTGAGCACACCGTGGATGCGGTTGTCCTGTTTTTGTTCTCCTCCTCCTGCAGCTTGCCACTAACACCTTTGGCTCACAGTTCCGAGCGAAGTTGCATCATTAATCTTTTTGCGCAGAGCGCGTACAGTACTGTAAGTACTATTACCAAGTACTATGTGTCATCGGATGGACTGTAGAAATGGCTTTTCTGCGAATTTACGCATTTCCCACGGCGATCTCGCGGCGATCTTAAATCGTTTTTAATGAAGTCCTCATAAACTGGCCGAAAACTGTCATAAGCCGGGAATTGGTTCTGAAAATCCCCAGCCCAGCCGAAAACCCAGCGTTGCGTGAATTTTTCGACGAGCTGACCACAAGAACAAACAGATTTTAATAGGAAATCAAAGGGAAATTTATTAGATGTGCTCATTGTTCTGGACTTCTTCGATAGCGACCCTCGCGGCGTTTGCATATCCTATGGCTAGACCTCGATGACCCCACCCCGAATCTAGAAAACCGAAAACCCAATTCGATATAAAGGTAAATACCTCAGAGATTAATGAGATTTCTTATGGGTGATTTTTTCTACATTTCCATACCGTTTTCTGTGTGTGTTTTTTCTTGTGTCGGGGTTTTTTTTCTTTCTCTTGTGGATTTTTTATGGCTCGTTTAGAGATCGGCAAACAGGGCG